TTCCATAGTTCAGTTGCAGGAATTGGAATCAATTAAGATAACAATGGCAGGATTGAAACAAATATTATATTGTTCGACAATTTATACTTTGAATACTTACACCATACAGTGACTTGCRTTTGAGCTTCCACGGGATACTGATTTGGGTTGTTGGTTGCCTGGCACTGATACGTCCCATTTTGATGCCTTGTGATGTTCTGRATAACGAGGTCAGCGAAACCTACTCCTTAGCTTTTTATTTCCTTAGATTGGTTTTTCAGTAACACCCAAGTGATRTTTGGAGTTGGATTTCCAATTGCAGAACAATTGATACGCAGATCTGCTCTCTCAACCACTATATTGTTGGCTTGAAATTGTCTGGTGAATTGTGGCCGCGCTGTGATGAACAAATTATACAAATATAAGTRTATGTAGAGTAACTCTATTTATGTTTATTTTTTATTTATAATCCATTTATAGTATAAGTGGCGGTATCTACAAAGAAACACTTGTATGTTTAATTTGACTGCTAGAATAACAATAAACAATAAACAATAAACAATAAAATTAAATGTTTGGCCGACTGCTCTTTAAGTTGTTACCTTCTTAGAGAGCATAGAATAATCTATTTAATCTTGATATGATTCCTTGCTTCGACTTCTTTCCACTCTATGTACGCTTACAGTAATGGAGGCAAATAGTTAAATGAATACTGTCTGATTGGTGGCAGAATAACTTAGCCGTAACTAGCAAACATATCAACAAATGCTACCTCTGTAACGATAATTGCGTAAAAAAATGATGACGATTTTTAGTTTGTTTGTTTGTTGTTGTTTTTTCCAACTGGCGCTCGCTTTCAAATGATGTCAGCTCTTTCATTTGGTTTCACACGGACATTTTATTTTCAAACCAAATCTAAGTAAAACACCATATTTTTCTCAAACTTTTAGCAAACAAGTTGTTTTTCAAGGTTTGAAAAGTAACTTAGTCTAAAAGACTTACTTGTAACAAAAAGCTGAATTTTACTTGCTATTGGCGGTAAAGTTTTCAATAATAAAATCATCCTGTATATTCCACTATCAGCAGTAGTGACATTAGAGATAACCAGGGTAGCATTGGGCTCTGTACTGACTCGAGTGGTAGGGTATAATAGTCTGGCAGGACACGTCCCATTACTGATTGTCCATCTCCAGTTTCTTAATAGTTGATCAAATCCAATTATAACAGGTAATTCATTAGCATGATTATAGTTCCATGTAGGGGAACTTAACTGAAATTCTTCCTTCCTGTTGTCTACGGTGTAATCCCAAACGAACCTGGCTGTCCCACCACTGACCACGTACAGTGGATTCGGTGGAGCTTGAATAATTCGAGCTTTACCTATTCAATGAAACAACGTATCTCAGTACTTGTAATAACTACTAATAAAAGCACAATGTACAATAGGGTATAAAAAAA